TTTGAAAGACATTATTCGTCCGTGATGATGATGATAATAATGATGATAATGATGATGATAATAATGCTCATGATAATGATAATAATAATAATAATAATAATAATAATAATAATAAGAGCTAATGATAATGATAATAAGGCCCGTTTAAACTAATGAGTATGAGTAACAGATGAACATATTACTGTTTTCCGGATTTCCGGATGTCTGCTGCGCGCGTGGCGCAACGTTGGCGTAAAATATTACGAATTAGTTCATCGCGAGGCACACACAGCGCGCACCGTTAGTTTCTCTTGCATGGATTCATGCTTCCGCGCATCTATCCTAGAGACAGGAGGCAACAACGCGTATGCCACTCGTCGGTATAGTACTTAACCTCATGTGAAGAGACGTGCCACATGATAATTATTGCCAGGCTGCCGAACGCATTAAAATTTAACCGCCACCACCTCGCGTAAGAGTGGCCGCACGCGCACGGCAGAGGGCTGCAAAATTTCATCAGCGGATTCCTGATGTGTATGTATCTGTGTGCGAGAGATAGAGAGAGAGAGAGAGCAGGTTGCGCGCGGGGGTACTCGTTCACGGCGTGCATAGGTGCAATGCAAATACTCGCAGCTCGCACATGCCGTGTGTGCGAATGCCGTATGCTGATGATGAGAGATCCGATGAAAATTGTTTCCGTGGTTGCGCAAAAATAAATAGAAAGGGTAAGCATTGTAGAATTTAAACATACACACGCCCGCGCGCACACGCACGCACGCACGCACGTACGCACGCACGCACGCACGCACGCATATAATAACTATGCAATAAAAGACTATATATATATATATATGTAATTTTTTATTTACGAAAATAACCGCGTTTAATTGCAATAACGGCGTCTTGGTGGTATTTCTTTAAATAGTTCAGTATTTTTACGATATTTTAAACTGGATTTTAAATATTTTAAAATTTTAAAATTAATTTTAAGTTAGTTTATCGATAACTTCAAGTCGGTTAGCCGTCCCTGTGGGATCGACCGTAATAATCAATTGTATTGAGTCGCGTTGCGAATGACGTGCAAACTTCACGTGCAAGGGAAAAACGCAATTAGCAAGAGTGTACCATGCCACCGATATAATTTCGTCTACTATAGCAGCAAGGCTGACTACAAGGCTAAAAGAGAGAAGTGTGAATGCATAAGTACGCTATTATTTGGTTGAATTTCGCAATTGTTTTCTGGGAATATCTGAGGTTATATAAATTGCTGGCCCGCTGTGGCGTGGCGTGTTGGAATGGACCAGTCGTGTGGACGAACAAAGAGGTAGTGGGTGATGCTATGCCATCAAAGTGCGACTAAAGAGAGAAGTGTGAATGCATAAGTACGCTATTATTTGGTTGAATTTCGCAATTGTTTTCTGGGAATATCTGAGGTTATATAAATTGCTGGCCCGCTGTGGCGTGGCGTGTTGGAATGGACCAGTCATGTGGACGAACAAAGAGGTAGTCGGTGATGCTATGCCATCAAAGTGCGACTTGTGTGTGTAATATTACGCAGTAGCTATTTCGTTCCCTCTCTTTCTCGCTCTCTCTCTCTCTCTCTCTCTCTCTCTCTTTCCACGTCCGCAGATCGAGGCGAAGGGCAATGAATACTGACGGTTGTCGTTGCACTTAATGCGCCTTATCAAAATTAAATCCGGCACCTTAAATACTATAAACCCGTGTAGTCGACTTTTAATGCCACCCGTATTGATGCAGGTAGACGATTTTGCACTTTGTCTCGGCACATGGAGCAATGTGGCTAGCTTTGTAGGTCGCATTGCTAAGTCAGTGGGCCGTGGGCAGAACGATGGGACAATAGAGGGCCATGCGCCTGTAATATTTCTGGTGCACGTTGTAAGCAAATACACTTGTTTGTGTGTTATTCTGCGAATATTGCCATGAATCCTGCCAAAGTTGCGCTAAGAAATTTCAAATAAATAATTGCTTCTCTATACCGCAATTCGATTTTCGTCGTTTAAAAAAATTATTGCAGAGTGGTTGCAAATAATGTTCAATATTTTCGTGTTTTCGTACATTCATTGACATTAGATATATAAATAAATGTTATTGCAAAGGACGACGAAAATAGGTAGCGTGTCAAAACACAGTTTACCGAACATCTATGAACGTGTGTGCATTGCCTTACTAGTGCGCACGTACACAGAAAGTATTTCTGTATTTCTGTGTGGCGTCATTAGAGGTGAGTTGCTAAGAGCTGTCACAGGTGGCGTTATAGACCGCTGAACGCGTGATGAAACTCGTAAACATCTTCTTTAGCTAATCTATTTCCCAGGTCAGTCTAAAGTGTGTTGTTTCCCTAGCCTGTAACTTGGCTTTGCGTAAATAAATCATAGTATTGTATGCAATCACATTACCAATTCTACTCAGAGAGTAAATTCCTAACGGTGTTTATGATTTTAATATATTAATTTTAAGGTGAAGTAGTCGTAAAATAATAGTAATTTATTAGCAATTTTTCTACCGTTACATTTAAATAAAATATTAAATTATGGTGAGGTATTGTAATAATTTTATTTAAATAGTTATATTAATTCTAACAACGAAAATATATTGGTAGAGTGGTAGATAACTGACTCCGGTTAGTTCGTGATAAATAAAGAACATTAGGACATTTTTAAATATTTTTTTAAAATATTCTAATAATTATATTGAGACTTTGACTTTTTTCATTTTCGTTTACACTGTTATAATTTTTAATCACAATGTATGTGCTATAAACTAAGCGGTTTCATGCTAATTACGTCTAAAAATTCGATGAAAATGCATGTTGAAATAGGTAGAGGTTTTAGATGTTTATTTAATTCTAAATCCACGGGCTTCGTATATAGTTTTAACGAATTTATTTCTTCCTTATAACGTCCAACTAAAAAGTGGCAAAATATATATTTAAAATTATTTCAAGTTTGAATTTTTTAAATTTTTTAAATTTTTTTCGAGCGAAGTTAACACCTCTTGGCGACGTCTCAATGGTTGATGTCGACGTGTTTTAAATTTTGCGACGGTCTGTTCGATAGACGAGGGGAGAGAGCAGTGTATGTGTGTGTGCCTGCGTACGTGCGTGCGTGCATGCGTGCGGATGTGACACATTTCCACCCTTGGCCTGCTGAATGACCCTGGAAATACCTTTAGCAGTTTTCTCGCCTCTCTCTCGACTTGTTTGTTGTCGTCGAATTACTGTTTTATCATGGGGAAGGCACCGCATCGCGCCCCGTCCCTCTCAGCAGTGATTCGTCTCCTTCTCTGGACTTATTAAATAAAATTAATAAAATTTGAAGTTACGACCGAGGCTTGCCGGACTCAGGAGGAGCGCCACCTTCTCCCCACTATCCACATGTACGTACACCCGTGTGTAGATAATATTCTCGTCGTGTTGAGGTTTCGACGAATGTGCTTGGATGTTATAGGGTTGAGAAACTGCGATGAGAGCGTGTCACTCGCACATTTCCCCTTAGCAGCAGCCACGCGTCCTTCCCCTGCCCTGCCCTCGCCTTCTTCTCTCCGTCACCCCGGAGAGAGCTGAACAGGAAGCTTGCGTGCAACGCCTGCAGGCGACGTCACGTGACGGTTAGCGCAATTTTAGGCCGGGATCGACGTGTGCCGTGCCCGCCGCCGCCGCCGCCGCCGCGCATAAGTTATTCAAGCCCAGCCAGTGGGCAGGGCCTCCCGCGCTCGGCAATGCAGCAGCCATGTTGAATATTAATCCCAGTCTTGGCGCGTCCGTCGCGCAGTAAACGCGTGTTGTGTGTGAGCGAGCAGCCCGCCGACTGACTGGCCAGCGCCGACGTCCAGCGACGACGAACGGTAAGCGACAGAGCGTTGGCGGCCGTGTCCTCTCCTAGGGCCGACGTATACGGAGACTCTCTCTCTCTCCCTCTGGCTTCTCTCTCGCGCGCGCGCCCAGGCTTCTCTCTCGGTTAATTATCGCGCTGGACTGTTTAATATGAGATGATCCGTCGGTAAATTGGCCGGCCCACCTTTACATAGTAATGCTCGCAGTCTGGCTGTCTCCCGATCGCTCGCTCTGTGGCTCGCTCGCTCCATCGGTCGGCTGGTCGGTCGTTCGGTCGCGCAGTCGGACGGTTAGTCGTTCGGTCGTTCGGTCGGTCGGTTGGCCGGTCAGACGGTCGAACGGTCGGTCGGTTGGCCGGTCGGACGGTCGGACGGTCAGTCGGTCGGTCGGTTGGTCGGTTCTCTCTCGGCGCGGTCACTGAGCGGCAGCAGCAGCAGCAGCAGCAGCGGCGGCGGCGGCGGCGGGGAGTCCGGCAGCAATCACCGCGCGCGCGTGCTAAAACATTTTCCAGCGTTAATTATGAGCCGCCGCGTGACGTAGTCGTGTTGCCTTGTCACCGAAGCGTGTCGGCGTGCGTGACGTAGCACGTAGCACCTGGTTGTGATGGGGAAGTGCGCGACGGCGAGTCAGTGTGTGCCTGTGCGTGAGTCCGCGCGTGAGAGTGAGAGTGAGAGTGAGAGTGAGAGTGTGTGTGTGAGAGTGTGTGTGTGTGTGTGTGTGTGTGTGCGTGGCCCGAGGAATGTTGCTGGTTGTCGAAAGGTAAGCAGACGTGTAGAATTTTGCTAAGGTGAACGCGTGTAAAGCGGCCGCTGTTGCGAGAGATTTTTCGAGCCGGAATGATGACGAGAAGGGTGAGAGGCGAGTGCCATGTGTTTTTATGCGCAGTAAACAGCTATGGTCATTGATTGATTAGGGGCGCTGCGATGTGACAATTTAATTTTTCCCCTTGTTCGACCCGCGTAATATTAATATAAAAAATGTAGTTTTGACCGATGCGATTTGCAGACGTACGTTGGTAGGTCCTGATTGTCTAAAGCATGCTGTCTCCTAGTACTAGCATCTTCAGTGAGTGGCAAGTGCTTTCGCAATATTTGTTCAAGTTTATTAAAATAATTTTTAATTCCAGTTGTGGTGCTGATAGACATGTAGAAGGAGATGGCTAATGATGAGATCGTAATCAATCACTGTTGTGCAGGTATTAATCTTTAAATAATGTTTAGTTATTAAACATTTAATAAATTATTTCATGGTCAAATAAATTGTTAACAAAAACTCACATTAAATCTAAGGTTATCAATAAAATGCTTGTGTGAGTGATTCGTCCTTCCGCTTACCTTCTCAGAGGATGTCATAGCACCGTAATCATGCGTGATATATTTTTTAATATTTATTAGAATATTTTTAATTAATTTCTTATATATATATATAAACTATTCGCATCAATAGAAGCAAAGTACAATGAGTAGGTGATCCAGCAGTGAAACAGGAATTCAATAATTGCCAATAGTATATATATATGTATATTTATTTCATTATGATTTCAGATTTCATTTAAATATGTTAATTTATTTTATTTTTAATTGATATTCAGGACATCTGTATTTGCTGTCTGTGAACATACAAGGGGCAGTGCTACGAGAACAATACTCACACCTATTTGCAGTGGGCGACCTCTGATTTACCATAATGAGTGAATTCAGCACGTTTTATATTGGTCATTAATTAGCATACAATTAGCATCCAGGTAGTCGAGTGCTAACGAGGATCAACGGATGCATTCGCTGGAATGTGGAGGCAGACTTGTGGCATTCCTTCCCTCAACCCCTTTCCCCTCGCAGCCTACAATTTTCTTCTTTAAAGCGCACGAGCCTCGAGCCGTCAACTCTTTAGCACCGAAAGAGCGCGATGCGATTGGTGCGAGCCGCATGAAAAGAGAAAAAATAACTCTCGCCAGCGGCGTACGCGTGTCGTTGTTGCCGTGGCGATATTGTCAGAGCGAGAATGGGTTCGTCGAATCTCTCTCGCTGTGCGTCCCTCCCCCCCCCTCCAGCACTGCCGCAGCGCGGAACGCGAAATTTAAAGCGATTTCAATCCCGCCCGAGAACCTCGGGTGGCGGCCCGTGGCAGCGGCGCGTGTGACCGTAGCAAGTGGCAACGGTGACGACCGACTGCTTTTCGTTAGGCGAGCGACGGGACGCAGCGGTGGGCAACGTGGGACGAGCTTTTAAAAAATACAAAATCCCGCGGATCTTCGGTGCCGCCTCTCGCCGGAATTTAAAAAAGAGATGGCGCGGTCGAGTCAGGAGCTCTCGTCGGCAGGTGAGGATTTTGCACACGCGCTCGGGCAGGTAAACGAGATGCACGCTTGCCGCGGCCCCCCGGGGGCGGTGACGCTCGGCCGGGCAGGTGGAGGGGCGTTTTTAAAATTGAAACGTGTTCAATCGCTGCGCGCGCCGAGCGAAAAGAGCTGCGGCGATCAAATCAAGCGAGCGCGCGTGGCGACACGTGACATCAGCGCGCCCGCGTAGGCTCCGCCTACATCATTACGGCGGGGCGAATGCTGATTGAAGTTGGTAATTAGGTGAATTTTAATCGTTTAAACTGGCGAGTGGCGGAGAGGGGCGATCGCTCGCATAGCGCGTGATGAGAATTTAAGTGGCTTTGCACCGTCACGGTCGGCACGAGAGGTGGCAGTTTGATGCCTAATATGTTTGTCTTGCTTAACGTGTATTTTGATTTATTTCTATGCTAATTATGTGTGAACAGCCGAGCACCGAACGGCAGCAGCGGCAGCAGGATAAATATTCGCAGTCGTTGTTGTGTCACCTTTTCCCTTAGTGATAGTGAAGCAGCGAACCAGACCAATAACTGGAGTAAAATTCACACGCGGTCATGGTAAACAAATATTATTTAAAATTATTTAGAATCCAACCGAGAAGAATTGAAGTAATATTTGCAGTCGCAATTGGCATTGCAGCTTTTGTACCAACGTGGGTATTTAATTTGGCGATGGTAAATATTTTTATTCTGATTCTAAAATGGGTGTGTGGTTTAAAAATGGGTGTAAAGAACTATTTAAAAAAGGTCAGCACAGTGGCTTGTTAAATTTATCTTAACTGTTTAAAACGCAGACGGAACAAACAAATCGTAAAAACAAGTCTTGCACGAATTTGATGGATTTTGGGATTGTTAGTCAGTACATGTATTCCTGGAAACCATGTGTTGTCTTTTGAAGCACGGGGTAATTTACATTGGTAATATGCAGTGACATCTGGTGCATTTAAACATCAGGTAATGGATGTATTATGCTTCCATGTACCGTATTTGGTATGTATGGGTGTGTATGTCCACAATCGTTGTCGTCACATGTATGCTCGTCATTTTGTACGTTGTCTCTATGTATTATTTATCTTTCTTTGTGATTTTTATTGGACTTAGTTATAATTTTTGCAGTCTCCTAAGTGTGTGTAATTTCTTTTAGCATTTGCGTGCATTAATTATTTGTCATTTCTGTTGTTTTGATGTATTGTTTGTAATTTTTTCTTGTGCCATTTCATTAGTTGTAATTTTCTACATGTGTTTAATTATTTTCTGCAGACTCTACAGAAAGTAACAAGTATAGAGACACGTATGGGAAAGGGGCAAGTATACAAACACTGTAATTAAATGATTTAAACATGAAATAATAATCATACAGATATGGTATTAGATACTAAGCATACATACTAGACAGGTAGACAGTATTATAAGCATGCGGACACAATAAAAATACCAAGCATGCAATCCCTTAAGAATATTACAAACGTATTGACACCAAAGAAGTTGGATGATTGCATATGTTAGAATGCACATTATTTTACCTGGTTCCAGTACAAGTTTTCTATCGCGTCTGTAAAAATATGACGTATATTAACTATAATCATAAATCTCTCCATATATTAAAATATATGCAGACATCATAGAACATCACAAACATACAGAAATCTTAGGAATATGTATAGAAATACCATAATATTTAATAATTCAAATATAAAATTATTAGCATACAGAGAAGACACATTGTTTGATAAACCCACACACTATAAAAATGTCAAGTAGACAAACACTTCAGAAAATTATACGCATATCGATGCTAGAGAAGGTGGTATGTACATACCAACATCATGGAAAATTATACATATATATTATATATTATATATATATATATATATCATGGGTGAATAATGACAAATTTGTGATTATTAACCCCTGATATATATATATATATATAATATATATAATAAAATGGTAATTAATTCCATGATAACTGGTAGCAAGAATACATGTACCATTTTTTCTGGTGTCAATGTGCTGGTATTTTTTGTGTCTCTATAACTTCATGTTTACTCTAATTAAATTACAATTTCATTTAGATCATCCATATTTCAAAAATAATTTTTGTTAATAACTGAGCATTAGCTGCATGTAAACTCATTCTCATCTTTATGCTTACCTGTTTCTATGGCATCTGTATGTATTCTTTTTTTATACGTGCATGAACTGCACGTGCTATCCATGTTTTTTGCTATTTCTTGTGTTGATTGCATGCTTGTTATTTTTTGTGATGCGTGTATGCGTGTGCAGGCGTGCACGCCTGCGTGGGTGCTTACGTACGTATGTACGTATGTATGTATGTATGTATGTATGTATGTATGTATGTACGTATGTACGTATGTACGTATGTACGTATGTATGTATGTATGTATGTATGTATGTATGTATGTATGTATGTATGTATGTATGTATGTATGTATGTATGTATGTATGTGTGTGTGTGTATGTATGTATGTATGTATGTATGTGTGTGTGTGTATATATATATGTATTAAAATGGTATCTTTTGTTTCCATGTCGATGGATCCATTCTGAGGCTCAGGATGAATTTTCTGCAAGTACATGCAGTGGCCCGGTGTCAAAAACAGCGTATCATTCTGAAAAAAGCTAATTAATGCTATGATTATACTTACGACCAATGGCAATGTTAAGATACGAGAATAGCATTGCCAGATCCACACAACGTAGCTATGAGCAAACTTGAGATGACAGGAACTTGGTAATTTGATGTCAGAAGGCTGCTGATTCATTGGATGAGAATTGACCATGAAGCTCAAACTCAAATTCAAATACATTTTACATGACAAAAAGATTATGAATGTTATCATGGTTAATTACGTTTAGATAATAACCAATGGAAAAATGGCAGATCACGTTTTTATTCTGCACTGCAAAACGTTGTATCACAAGATGTACGTGTCGTGAATCATCAAAATGTCATCAGAAACAATAGAACAATAATTTGTGAACGTCATTATGTTTCTGACAACGACCCCCAGTGTCTACATCCAACGTACATCCTAGAGTCGATTTTAGACAAAATTTATAATTATCTTTATTATTAATTTATTATTATGCTTGACCTTTGTAATGTGTACTAATGCAGATAAGGTCTATGTCTCCCTGGGTACTCGGAACGTACCCTGGTAACTATCTGATATGGTTAGGGTTAGGGAGTAGGCGTAGGCGACTCCCTAGACTCGTTATTGGAGTAGGAGAGGTACACCGTACGGTCCGGCATATTAGATAGTACCAGGGTACGTTCCGGCAGTACCCAGGGAGACATAGATCCTGGCAGCTGTACTAATGTACTAATGTCATTAATCATAACCCTTTTTCTTAAGTTACGAGAATGAAAAATCTAAGCAAATTTTATTGTAATTTTACAATATTCTTAACCCTCTCATAACTACCAAACAACGAGTAAGCGAATGAAAACACAACACAATTCAAATTATATTTACATTATAGTCCATATTGATTTGTAATACCTATATTCTTCATGAAAACATGTTTTGATAAGCTATAGCACTTACAATATCACGTCTTGCAGTGCATAATTATATATAACGTGATCATGCAGTTCTTCCATGAGTTATTTAAACATGATTAACGGTCATAACATGTATTCCTTCCAGTCATAAACAATTATTGTATTTTAATTTTTATTATGGATTTTTATCGATTCAGTGGCCTTGTGACAGCAAATAATCATGCTCCTGTTATTATAATTTTGCATATTGATGGTATGTATTACTGTCAATGCTATTCTCTTATCTTAACCTTAGTCGTAAGTATTATCATAGCATTAACATTTTGAGT